CGCGCGCCCGCAGGTGGCCACGCGCCGCGCTGGACGGCCCGGCCAATCAGAGACGCGCGCCGCCGCGCTCCGGCCAATCGAGGGCCTGTGCGCTTGCGGCCTGGTCCGTAGCAGCCAATCAGAGGCCGCAGCGCTCTCGGTCACGCGCTTTCCCGCGCTCCCTAGACCAGCACACCCCCACCCCAGCCGCCGCGGGTGCGCTTCCCCAGACGGCCCTGCACGGAGGCCGGGCGCCCCTGCCTGCACGGCCAGGGGGAGGACCCCCACTCTCCCTTCCGGGTTCGTCCTGAGTGTCTCCAAATGATGCTCCAGTGTCGGGGGAGACCTTCGAGCATTTCATTCATTCAGTTTTTTTTTCTGCATACGGATCTGGGGTACAAGCCAGAGGCTCAGGGGGTGAGAGGATCGCCAGAGACAGAATGGGGAGCAGAACAGGCAGAGTGCTGAAGTACACTGCTGAGGGGCAGCGGGCGGACAGGAGCCGTCTGCTGGCCATGTGTGTCACTCCCTCGCCGAGGAGTCCAACTCCCGCGAAGCGGCTGCAGCGTGCAGTGCTGCACATTAACCCGTTGCGCCACGAGGAGGGGCCCCCATTCCGGTACATTAAGGGGTGAGATAAAGCAATGTGGCTCTGAAGGAAAATTTGGGGCCTCCCCGGTGACGCAGGGGTCAAGCTCAGCACTGTCAGGCGATCGCCAGCCAGTGCGCCCTGGGGCCCATCCCTGGCCAGGGAGCGTTGGGGCGGCTGGCGGGAGCTGGCGCCCTTCCGCTGCTTCCCAGCCTGGAGCAAGGCCGCTGCCGCACTGCGGAGTCTTCCCGAGGCTGCTCCCGGTTTTCTCTGGGGCCCAGGGCTTCCTCTGTACTCCGAGCCCGCAGAGGTTCGTGGCGGTGCCTAAGTGTGTGTCTGCGGCGCCCAGCGATGGAAGGGGCCGCCCGGCGTGGGGAGGGTCCTCACTTAGAAGCCTGATGTTTCTGTGACCAGATAGACTCAGGGGCGGAGCTCAACAGCGGCTAGCCCGCGGTCCCCTAGTTTCTGAGCAGTGTGAGCAGTGTTGCGTGAGGCCGTTGGGCTTCCCAGAGAACCCGTAGCTCTGAGGAAGCGTCTGTGATCACTTCCAGCAGAGCAGGTCCAGAAGTGGGAGCGGGAGAGCGGCTGGAGCCCAGCTTGTGCCGGAAGGGAACATGCTGACGCTTGGCCCATCCCAGACTGGGCCCTCAGCCTGACCCCCACAGACCCACCACGGCAGGCCAGGCCAGGCGGCGAGAGAGCCGAGGCCCAGGGCCCCCGCTGAAGGCTGGCCAGGGGCCGGGCGCTGGGACACCGGCACCGCAGCTCTGCGGACTTTCCGGGACGGCTTGTGGCCAGCGCTGAGACCCAGGCTGGGCGGTCCACTCACCTTCTGGGGAGTTGACCTGGGGCCGCCCAGACCTCCGACCCCACCCCGGCGCTCACCAGGAACGGGCTTTTTAGGCACTTGGGAGCGGCCAGGAGTGTGAGCTAGCAACCCCCTGGTTTACTCCTGTCCGGCCGCCCCGCAGCGCTGCTGGTGCTGTCTGGCCGGCTGGGCCAGGGCTGTGGTGCGGTCTGGCCGGCTGAGCCAGGGCTGTCGGAGGCCTCTAAGGGCCACGCGGCAGGGCTGTAAGGCGTGCTGTAGGTATTTCAGGGGTTTGGCCCGCCAAACCTGTGGTCTGATGGGGCCAAAGAATGGGAAAGTGGGTTCCACTGTAGGTGAAACGGATGATGAGGCGAGCCGATTAGCGCTCGCCAGGAGCGGGCATGAGGCTGAGGAGAGCTGGGAGGGGATGCAAGGCTGGGGGGGGCCACGAGGCTGAGGGGAGCTGGGGTGGGCGCCACAAGGCTGAGGAGAGCTGGGGTGGGCGCCACGGGGCTGAGGAGAGATGAGGGGG